GGGCAGCCAGGTTGGATATAAAAAACCAAACACGTGGGCCTTGGGCTCTCTCTGGCTCGCGATCGCTCGCCTCCTGGCTTCACCGCTCCTGGCTGGCGGCCAGCTCTGAGAGCGCCATTTTGGGATTCCTGATCGGCGGATAGGGTAGGACTCGTTTAAAACTTTGTCTCCACTTTTCTCCCAGAGCTGTACATTTCCTCATTTCCCCTTCCCTTGTGAATAAACCTTTTATTAACCTTTCACGTGTGCCTGCAGTAGAGCATTGATAAGTCCTTTTAAGCGCGCGGGGGAGGACCCACAGTCAGGCACCCTGTTTTGTATCGGGGTTGCTCTACAACACAACGACCAACAAGAACAAACTACGCATCAAGCGGGACCGGGAGTGGAAAGGAACTATTTCAGCCACCACACCCCGTGAACTGAAGCTGTGGAGAACCCTGCAGGATTCGCGGTGAGCAAATGGCTCCGGGCGCCATTAGAGAACAACACAGACTCTGGATATCTGCACACAGCCCCGGCCGGCCAGTAAGCTTGCGCAGAAAAGAGGCGCGCTTGAAAAGCAAACGCGGATCTCGGCTGCCCAGGTCCCTGCGCCTGCGACCTAGGCTTGCGGGGAGATGGGTGGGGGCCCTCACTGAGGTGAAAGTCCCTCACTGAGTAATCAGAAACCAGGCGCCCGGACACGGGAGTGGGGTGCAAAAGGCGCCATTCCGGCAGCCACTGAACTGGGCTACAGCCTGCATCCTGGAACTGAGGGCTTTGGAACTGAGACCCGGGGCACAAAATTCGGGGTGTGGGTCCTACACGTCGGTGGGGCACAAGGCAGACACAGCACCCCAAAGCCATTGAGGTTTTCCCTACCATTCCCACTCTGTTCCCTGTCCCACAGGGTGAAAAAGGCAGCTCCCAAGAACAACAGGAGATATCTCTGGCGCCACCTAGCGACCTGAAAAAAAGTCACTGACACCTTTCTTCAGAAAAGACTGCTTGAAAGCAGCGTGGCCATCTGGGAAGTTAGCCCACCCCAGGCTCCTTCAGACCAGCAGTCTGAGCCCACAGGGGGAGCGGGCACCCACGGCCGGGGCAGACTGGTGCGCAGAAGAGTGTGCCTGAGACCGGATGCACAGGGAGTGCGTCTTGCATCGCCACTTTAGAACAGGGACATTTCCTCAGTAAAGACTGCCTGCAGAAGGCTCCCTCAGGAGCCAGAGGTGAGCGGGGAAGCTCGCCCACGCCAGGCCCTTCTGGCCTGCAGTCCAAACCCAGAGGGGGAGCGGGAACCCACCGCCGGGGCAGACCAAGCGCACAGGGGAGTGTGTCCCCACATCGGCATTTTAGACCAGGGACCTTCCTTCAGTAAAGACTGCTTGAAACAACAGATGGCTCCCAGAGGAGCCAGAGGGGAGCGGAGAAGCTCACCCAAGATGCCGGCCAGTCCCAGCAACACAGTGTCCCAATGCATACGACAAATTAGAAAACAGACAGTAAGGAGTAGAAGAACCACATGGAACCTAAGAACTCCTCAGGAAAAAGCACACCACAAAAGAAAACCACCCCCCAGAATGCAATGAAAGTAACTTGGAAGAACTTCTGAGCCTTCCAGAAAGAGAATTTAAAATTGCCGTGATTAAAAAAAAAGAACTCATAAAGGAAAACAATGATCAGAAGAAGGAAATTGAATCCCTAAAGAGGGACAACAATGGTTAGAAAAATGAAATTGAGTCCCTAAAGAGGGAAGCAAAGAAACGCAGGAGATCAAAGAATTAATGGAGGAACTAAAGAACTCTGGGAAAGCAATGAAAGCAGAATAGATGAAATGGAAGAACGAATAAGTACTCTTGAAGACACAGAAATAAAAAGAACCAAAACAGAAAGGAAAGAGAAGTACAAAGGAAAAAGAACAAAGAAAGACTTCGGGAACTATCTGACTCCATGAGGAAAGGAAATATAAGAGTTATAGGACTCCCAGAAGGAGAGGAGAGATGTAGGAACAGAGAAATATTCAAGGAGATAATTGAAGAGAACTTCCCAAACGTGAAGAAGGAGCTGAAAATTGATATACAAGAAGCAAGAAGAACACCAAACTTCCATGACGAAAGGAAAAATACAGCAAGACACATAATAGTAAAGCTCCCAAGAATCCAGGACAAGGAAAAAATAATGAAGCTGACAAGAGGGAAGAAACAGATAACATTCAAAGGAAAACCAATCAGGCTGACATTAGACTTCTCTGAAGAAACACTACGGGCAAGGAGAGAGTGGAGGGACATAGTCAACAGACTCCAAGAAAACAGATGCCAACCAAGAATACTCTATCCTGCAAAGCTCTCCTTCCTTTATGAAGAAAGAATAAGGACCTTCCCAGACAAACAGAAACTCTGGAATTTCATTACGACTAAACCCCACTCCAAAAATTACTACAAGGAGTCCTAAAGCCCGAACCTCAGAGGGACGAATAACAACGAAAGAAGGCCAAAAAAAAAAAAGTTATTAAAAGAATAAATAAATAAAATCAAAGGAAAGACAAACACAATGGCAAATACAGATGCTAACATATCAATATTAACTCTAAATGTAAATGGACTAAACTCTTCAATAAAAAGACACAGAGTTGCAGCCTGGATTAAGAAACAAAACCCAACCTTTTGCTGTCTCCAGGAAACACATTTAGCTACAAAAGATAAAAATAGACTCAAAGTTAAAGGATGGAAAACAATCCTACAAGCAAATGGATGTCCGGCCAGCCGGGCAGATCAACGCGGTACCCGGGGGAGGAAGCAGGGGCTTGGTATGGACAGGGGTACACAAGGAGTGGAGACAAAGCCAGGATCATTGCCAGTCTCATTTATTCAGGAATGTGTACAAGGTTATATAGGGTTCAGAGGGGGAGGTCTCTCGTTATCTCGAACAAGATGAGACCACCAATGCCAACAAGCCACAAGGAGCAAGCAGTGGAAGGGGTCAGTCCTCACAATAGGAAACTTGAAACCTTCCCTGGGGCTAACATTCAGTACCTGCTTCAGGCAAGAACCCGGATGTTCAGGTCTGGGCCCCAGGTCTGGGCCCGGACAGATCCTCCTTTTCTATTATTTCTAATGGGAGAGCGAAAAGACAGAAACCCTCGGGGACTGCGCCTGTCTTAGGTCGTCAGGAGTCACAGACATGTGGCGATTTAGCACCTCAAGCCATTTTGAGTCTGCCCCCTATCTTACCCGTCATTGGCTGACCAGTCCATCGCACAGGGAAGGGGTCTTATTTCTTCAGACTGAGCATAAGTCTGAGTAAGAGCCTCCCTTATCTTGCATCTCCAACTTATGGTAATGTACCTGAATGGGTTTGCCTGAATCTGTTGTCTTACAAAGGTGATTATTCTGTTAAAATGCAAGGACCACGACAACCAATATCAAAAGGGTTAATAGGGAACTATGAGGGGAAGAAGGTAGGGTAAGAGTCCATTGAGACCAGTCCAGAGTGGATTTTCAGCTAGTTCCTGGCGTCTTCTTTCCAGGTCATCTTGTAATTGTCAGATTTTATTGCGGATGATTCCTGATTTGTTGGCGTAGAAACAGCATTTCTCCTGTAGGACCAAGCAAATACCCCCTTTTCCGCTGTTAGCAAATCAAGGCCCCGTCGATTTGAAGGACCTCAGCTAAGGAATCAACCTGATCCTGAAGATCCTGAATAGTACTGGAAAGAGCATGAACATCATTAATAAGTTGTTGAGACAGTTTAGTATATTGTGAAAGAGATATGCCTAATCCCGATGTCCCTGAGGCCACGGTGGCATTTATACCCAGGCCTGCAAATAAGGGAATAAGGTGTACTGCTCTTTTACTTTTACTGAAAAAATGGTCAACCGTTGGAATGGGCATGGGCTCACTTCCAGGAACAACGTCTATGTCGGGTAGAGAAAACCCAACACACATTGACCGGTAGTTAGCTGGCAATGGATGCGATTCATTTCCAGAACGCCGGAGGAGCCTCTCTCTGTGCTCCGAACGGTAACCGGCCTGGGCCAGCCGGTTTATGCAGGCTGCCTGTTGTGGTACCCCCGCCCCCAGAGGGATCACCACGTCTGAGGAGGTGAACGTGCAGGCACACGTGGGTGCAGCGCACTGTGGCCCAGAACTGCCAATCAAGCGATCCTCCTGCCTCAGCCTCCCATGTAGCCTGGGATTACAGGCGCGCGCCACTGCACCCGGCACTTCAAAAAACTGGACAGGCTGAACCAAAAATGGGAACCGTGAAGGCAATTATGGTCGGGTGCAAGTGAGGAATTGGTTGTTGGAAAGGCCAGAGGCACAGGAAACCCATTTGTAAGCATAACCAACAATTATTGGCCAGTGAGGAATTTGTTAAATTAAGTAGATTAAAAGAGGAGTGGAGGATATTAAAGTATTGGAGTCAATGCCCAACTTTTGTCTTTCAGCAGGAAGGGCAAGTGGATGGTAGCTAAGCGCAGGGAAGGCGCGGTGCAAGCTGTTTTAAGACTGTACTGACAAAATGATTTTTGGCTTTGTCTTGAGACCTCCTCCATCGTGACATGTACTGGGGCAGTAGTTGCCCAGCACACTGTGTCACCCACCTTTTTGTTAGCACCACAGGTGGTCAGCAAGGGTAGAGGCCTGTGGCTGACTCGCAGGGGATGTCCTGATAAGAACAGCAGTGTAATAAGTTTTATTATTATTATTGGCTGTGCATAAGAAAAGGTCTTGTAACCGAGGAGTGTACTGACTCAGCAAAGAAAGTGCAGGTACACTGCCCTCCATGTGAGGGGCCACCTATAGTTGTCCGAG